CCGGTTTGTGGAACTCCAAAGTGTATATATTTAGGGCAGAAACAATATTTCTTACTCTTCACAATTTTTTTTGTTTCCTTATGTCACAGTTAGTTGATCTTTTATTATTTGATTTTCAGAAACATTTTAACTGAAATTAAAGGGAATGGGCATGTATAAAAAAAGAGATTTACTCTCTTGAGAGAAAAGGAGAAATGTTTTCCTTCTGAAATGAGAATCGTCCTCTGTATATTTTTGGAAGATTTTGTAACTCGTGGTCACCAAAGATCAGGAACTAGGCAGGCAGGTAATTGAGTGAAGTTGGGGGTGGGGGTGGTAGGAGGGCTGGTGTGGGCCCTGGCTTCTTGCCGTGTAGATTCAGACACAACCCAGACAGATTCAAGGCGTGGAGTCAACTGACTGTTTCTGAGCATAAACATAGGCCCATGGCTGCCGCATATTCTTATTTTTCAAACAATGCCAGAAACCACAGATTTTTAGATGCACACTCCCAAATTTAATTCTACTTAAAAAAGAAATCATTTCCCTCTAAGCAAAAACACATCTGTGAGCTCAACCCAGACGCCAGGCCCCAAGATTATGGATTTGTTTTAAAATTTTACTTCTATAGCCATGTGTCCATGTACACACATTCATTTGGCCAAAATTCAGTCATGGTGTCATGGTGTCTCTGTTTAGTCCGACAACTGGGAATTGGGTGTGATTGCGATAAGAAGACCCTCGCCAGCTGGAAGGCCCTCAGGGCGGGCTTTCTGAATGATTCCATGCAGCTGTTTTGGGTCTCGTACGGATTCTGCAATCAGACACCAGGACCACACGGCCTTGACAGGAGTTTCCTTACCCCAGAGATCCCAGTTTGGTTCCTTGGGGGCCCCTCAGGAGCTAAACCCCAGAGTGGATCCACCAGCAGCTTAATGTGCTGAAAGTTCCATTCGACAAACAGCTGGAAGTTTAAAAACCAGATGTATGATCAGCATCACATAGTTTTTCATTAGCTTGTACATTTTAAGGAATCTGCTCTTTCCC